CCCCATGTGGAGCTTCCCCATCTCCAATTTCACTTTATATTTATATTATTTGTGACTTAAATAACATATTTCAAACTGAAAACAACTTTGAGCGATTTTTTTAAGCATTTGTGACAAGATGAAAAAGTGCCTTCTTTTTAACATCGTGAAATAATATTTTTTACATAATTTTCAGCTTTTATGAATAATTCATGAAAACATTATTTCTCTTTTTCCCAAATTTTATTTCACTCAATATGAGACTATTTATTATGATTATAATGTTTCGTCTCGTTTCTTTTTATTGCTTTTTTTTTCACATTCACTTTAATGATGCGGTATAGAAGAATGTTTGGTAATCCTTCATGTCAAATCTGGTTTTGCTTGGTAACATCAAGTTCGTGTGTAATGATCCGCTCAATAACTCTTCTTAAAATACGCAATACATTGAAGTAATAATTCTTCCTTTCATACAATGTCACTCAATTCCCAATTTATTTATTATTTCTTTCTTCAACACTCTCTAACGATTCTAATTTCAGTACGATACGGAAGATATTTACCGAAAGACTGATCAGAATTAAGGATGTGAAGACATGCTGAACATCATGAGATGAAAAGCTCTTTCCAGGAAAGAATAAAAAGAAAGCTTTATGAGAGAGCTATTTGATGCTGTGCGGTTTGTGGAATAAATTTAGTTTCAAAGAGAAATGAATTTAGAAATTTACCGCGAACTCTTGATAAGAAATTTTTGTTAATAAAATTAAGAACATTTTTAATTAAAAAGTTGATATCTTGATTCACGTCAATTGAAATAATAAGACATAAATATATAACTGGGGTGGGGTGTCAAGTTCTCAATTCATGTCTGATTGCCATAGTCGCACGTTCGTGCTAACACGCTAATGTTCTCTGTAATTAAATAAATTTCTGACAAGTTGGATATGTTTGTATTTTCAGCAAATTACTACGTGGATATGTATCATGGAAGTTTCTGTTATGAATACTAAATAAAGACCCAATTTAATGTTCTAATTTAATATATCAAAGGAAATTTCTTTAAGAAAATGTTCCAGTTTGGAATTTTCTTTCTGGTATAAAATTCTTTCTTTTTGACAATCAAAGAAAATTCTTAAAAATTAAAGGAACAATTTTCACAAAAATCTGTTGTGGAATAAAGACATTGCATGTGATAAAACTTAAAGTTTATTTATTCCAAACTTCCAATTGGAAGGAAAGAGAAATTTTCATTATGAAGCTTTCTCTTCTATTTTCCATTGAAAATCAAAATAAATCTTTGCTCTCTCATGAACTAACAAGAAACATACAAAGGATGGAAGTGAAAACTCATGGCAAATATTTTTCGTGTTAAGAAAACACATGAAAGTTCGCATTGGAATCAAATTCTCTCTTTAAATTTGTTATTCCTTATGGTGATGTTTTCCCCTTAAAGAGAGAAGGGAAATCACTGCATTTTATTGCAAAGAGTTTTAGCATGGACCAGCACTTGTAGTTAGTTTTCGTGATAAAAATGATTAGTTTAGGATTAATGTCGATTTTAATATCGATTGACTATGTGGAAATGTAGCTGTAGATAGATCGATCAAATTTTCCATCGGAAATTGAGCCAAAAATCATCAAATCAAATAAATATGAGTGAAGGCGAAAAAACAAATTCAAAAGTTCGAGCTTTCATAGGCCAGACACCGAAAAATTTGAAGCAGAAATTCTTCTCGGTGCTTGGAACAAGCTCTGAATATAAAAAGCAAATTATTACAGGAATATCCAATAAGGTTCGTGAGGTGGAGTGTTAATAGTGTTTTGTGTAGCTTTGCAATTTATTTCAGTTACATAATCTCAAGCATTCGGAAGCATTTGGAAAATTTAAAATCAATAAATGTTCTTGTGTTGTTGTGTTAGTTTTGTGTTAGTGAAGCACGTGTTCAACATTCATTCAATGTGCCAAATTTAAAGATGATCGAAGATGTCAAAAAGCACATCAAAAATGAAAAGCGAAACAAAGTTTTGTGATTAAATTACTAAATAATTAATTTATTATGTAACAAGTTTAATAAAATGAAAATTGTTTTCATGCGAAGCCTACGCTAATTGCTTTATGATTAATAATTAGTTTGAAATATTTCTGACATCCTTTATTACCTCTTATATCAGCTCGATGCCGCTCTGAGTTTTGGTTCGACTTCAGAAACAACACCGGAAAACGTTAACGAAGCGAAATTGCGAATGAAGCTGAAAGAACAACATGAAAAGGCAAATTCTGCCGAGTACTCCCTTGACGATCATATAGTCGATTATGAATTAAGAAGGGTTAAAGAACGGCGGGCACATGAAGAGGTTCTTTCCGGAAGATACCGACATCCAGCCTTCATCGAGCGGAACAGTCAAAACCAAGGTTTAAATCAAAATTATTACCACTAACAACATCTCAAAATTGAATTTATCATTTTGATTCACTCTCAAAATTCTCGCCAAAAATTATTTATTTTTTCCTCCTTTTCTCGTTCTTTTCTCATCAACAAAATTTAAACAATCATGTTAAAGGATTATGATATGATTCGAATCTCATCATTCGTCATAATCATTCATTCGAAAGACGTGCTCAAACATCAGACTCCATTCGCTTACTAGTGACAGATTGTAACATGATTACAGATAGTTTTCAAGTAGATAGCCCCAAAAAGTCGCCCCCATCGCCCGTTGTCGTTGTTGAAAATCAAAATCATAAACATCAAATCGATTGTATTGCCACGACAATCAATCATCATCCAATGAACAATAGCATTCCAACTAAAAGTACGATACAAGCATTGACTACAAAGGAGAATAATTTGTTAGGCATACCGCCCACCAGTTGTTCAACAGCAACGAGCGAAAGCGGTGATAATTTGAGTCTCGGTGACTTAAGCTTTGAATCAATGGAAGTGAAAATGTGGCAAAAGTCGGAAAGTGAATCTGTGGCACTTTCATGTTCATCAATTAGTTTGGATAGTTCTTCTGACGAAGTGACCTTTGAATTTATGCGAAGATTTGTGTCAACTCTTTTCACCGATTCTTCATCGATAACACTTGAGTTAAAGCATCAATTTGGTCAACACGCAAGGGTAGATATTTGTTAAAGAAAAACTTTCAACTTAAATGGCTTTTTTTCTATCTCAATTGTAAACTCTGACAGCTCGCTTCAGGCAGAATGTGGTTTGCACGTTTCGTTAACAGTCAAAGGACGAAGTCAAAAAGAGTGAATGAAACAACCTTCTACGCTCTTATACAATACTTTGCAATAATTCTTTTTGAGTGTAAGGATTGTGAAGATTTCTTACCAGCAAGACATTTAATGTCTTTGTGTTTTACGTTTTTTCAAGAAGGTGATGGTTGACCTAGATTTTATCAAGAATTCTTACGACAATAAGTGTTTTCTTCTTTTACTTATCATTAACAGTTGAAGTTCCAGGCTGTGAACCGTACAGAGAATATCTTTTTAATTATCTTCGAGATCAACCGATATGGCATACGTTAAGGTTTTGGAACGCTGCCTTCTTCTACGCCCTTCAAAAAGATAAAGTTCCAAAGGTTGAAGTTGAAACTGCTCGTAAAAGTGTCAGCAGTGTTCAATTGAAAAGCTCTGAAGAGGGAAATGATATGTCTGCCAAGAAAGTGACTTCATTGCAGTCATCTCGTTCTGTTTCTGAATCTTCTCTTAGTAGTTCAAGTTCCACTGATCATTCAAAATCAAGTGGAAGCTCGAAATACAAAACCACATCTAACAAGGTGGTGAATCGTTCTAAAAGTTCCAACATTGCAAGTGGGAGCGCTGACAATACTTTTGATGTAGATGAAAAGAAATTACAGGATAACATGGCATTTAGCCATTTAGGGTAGTAAAAAAGAAACTAATTCAATCAAATATAGATTTTGATTTATTTTATTCTATTTTCCGATTTATAGTAGTCTAACGTGCAACATGCACGCTTTTGGATTAAATCGAAGTTTATGCTGTGAGTTTCTTAAGAAACAATGTCACATTTTGAATTTGACGAAAGGTAATTTGACGATTATAATAAATAAAAAGCTCAATAAATCTTCCATGTTATGTTTTTTGCTTCACAGAACAGGAAAAAATGCTGAACGATAATGTCAACCGACTCTACCGTGAGACAGATCCATGGAGAGAATAAATCATTTAATTTGCAATTCATGTAAAAAGAATTATTTTGACTTTAACAATTTCTCAAATCTACGCTTAGCTTGTAAATCAATGAAATGGAAAATGAATTTTCCACATAAATATTTGTTCTTCTATATTACAAGAGAAGCTTTGAATTCCTATCTTAATTGAACATTTTAATTGATTCGACATTTTGAATTTTTTTCCATTATAAAAACAACAAATCGAAATATTATTGCAACGTTATGCCTACGTACTTAGATTTTAAAATTCATTGTTGAAATTAGAACATTTGTTGAATTTTAGATAGTTAAAAATTTAAATAAAGAAATTTGTTGAATTTTACTGTAATCGCAAATTGTTGGAGCTTTTTCTGAGATTGAAAGAAGCTTTTAGATGGAGAAGTCGACTCAGCTGATTTCATAGGCGCACGTGAGAAAGAATTTTCCTCTCTGTTGTCAAACAATTTTCTTGTTTTCTTCTCTCAGCACATGGCCTTGTCATGCTTTGTTTGTTTACTTTCGATTCATCTGAGAGAAAAGTTTGACATGCTTTAAAACGCTCTCGGAAAATTTAGTAAACAGAGAGAAAAGCTGCGATGGTGCGACAATTCAGGTCAACGATGTGAAGAGAAAATCGCAGAGAAAAATCTATGTAGGAGGAAAACTTTTTCTCCATGCGAGATGTAGACATTTTCCATTTTTCTTTCATCTGGAACGGATGAAAAGAAAAATGTGAAAAAATTTTTTGTAAAGTTATAAATGTTTGTTGAAATTAACTTTTGTAAATCACAGAAACATAAAGTGAGTAAATCATAAATAGAATTGACTATTTATTGAATACGATTGAAAACCAATAAAGTGCAAAATATCAATCGAAAGGTGAAAGAAAATTGTGAAAATCTAGGGCGTAACCGAATTTTATTACGTAATAAATGCCATCAAAAACTCAACATTTTCTTTCATTCAAAGCTGAAACTCTTTTGTTTGCATTATGTGTTTGGAATCATAATAACGAATTGTTTGTTTAACTGACTGAAAATTAATTCTGGTTGATATGAAAATTGATTTTTTCTGACGCTTTTCTTTCAATCGTTTATCATTTCAACAAGGCTGATAAGAAAATTCGATTAAATGGAAAACTGTGGGGAAAGTGAAAGGGTAACAATAAATGTCATTTAGAATACAATTGATCAATATGGGCACGAGAGCTGCAGCCTGTAAGTATTTTGAAATAATTTAATTCACAGAGATTTGAAGTTGAAAAAGTTTTTCCGCACAGATTTTAAAGATGGCGTCGGAAGAAAATTTTCTCAATTTTTTCGCAAGCTTTTGTGAATTTTTTAATTATTTTCATTTCGTTTTCTAGTTCAGGCAAAGCTTCGAAGCCTTCATGATTATCATCAACGTCTTCTCCATAATCAGCTTCCTCTTCCTTCTGGCGTCGATATTGCTAACACTATCAAATATTTCTCTCAAACTTTGCTGAGTAAGTATTTAAACTTTTCACCACAAGATAATTTATTTAATTATTTTTTTTCTCATATTAGCTGTTCTTAAGGATGTTCGCAATTCACCTCTTGATATGATCAAAGATCCTGACATGGACATGACTCGAATGTCTTCTTATCCAAATCTTGAATACCAAAATCTTTACAATGCTATTTGCATGCTCGTAAGTTTTATTCTTTTTTAAATAATATTTGAGAAGAAGAAATTTAAATTTAATCTCCATCAATTAGATCGATGTCACTCCTAATATTCAATATGGGATTCAAAGTAATTAACTTAATAATTAAAATTGGCAGAAAACTTTAAAATAATTTTAAATTAATTTCACAGTGTTTGGCAAAGCCATTCTCCAATGCATGGGATGCATTTTACCGTTTCTAGATCGTGACCTTATTGATAATCTACCATATTTATGTGCTTCACTGTTCTCTGTGCTACCATCTCCATTATACCAAGACATCATCAACTACTTATGCTATTACATCTTACCATTTACAATAACAAGACAAGGCGATCAAGAGTCTTTGATTTGTCAGTCATCAGCATCAGTATCATCCGTCATCATGTTTGTATTTCAATATTCAAATAATCCTGCACATCATTGTCAACTATTAGAATGTCTGATGACACTTAAGCACAACGTAGTTAAAGATTTACTATGTGTAATAGCTTATGGGACATCTTCGTCTAGATCAGTAGCAGCTAAACTTTTATTCTATTACTGGCCAGCATTTAATGCTGACCTTTTCGACCGAAAGGTTCTTCTTGTGAAGTTTAATAGTAAGTTTAACAAAATTCTACTTAAAAGATTATTTTATGGAATTTTATTTATCATCAACAGACGATTTGATGCCATTTGTATGTCAAAGAGATCATTGCACATCAACTGGAAATGCTGAAGCAAGCAAAGTTTGCTATGATCATAATGTCAGCATTCTTCATTCAAATGAAAATCCACCCCCACTTTATTGTTGTATTGAATGTGCCAACGCAATTCATCGTGAACATCCAAACATCACATTCAAGGATATGATTCATCCAATGCAACAAGTGTCGATGATATGCGAAAATAAAAACTGTCGGTCAAGCGATAAATCAGCGTTTTCCATCTGTTTTTCCACGGAATGTATAAGTTACAATGGAAATCATCCAATCCGTTATTGTAATCAATGTCATTTAAATCGACATAATGCAAAACGTGGTGTTGATCATGTTTATCATCGTTCACTTTTGCCAGCATGGCAAATGGATTTAGAATCGTCAGGTTACATGATTGAAGCAGTTGTGAGTTTGTTAAGGGAAGCAAAGCCATTAAATTTGGATTTGTCTAAAGACACAACAACAACAGAAGGTCGAACACATGACAATATCTCTTTGGAAGATCGTCAACAGCTTGGGAAGTATGGAATTTGGTTGCTTGTTGGTCGCTGTTCACCCACAGTTGACACACCAGTTGAGATTCTTGGACGACTATTGAACATGTTATTCCATTGGTTCCACATAACAGCATACTCAAGTGAAAGTGGAGTTGAAAGCACTTTAGAGAAGCTTAAAATTGACCACGTCTGTGGGTGGTTAAAAGAAATAGCAGAAAGTCACAACAAAGAATTTATTTCTTGTTTATTACCTCATCCACCAGAATATTCAAGAGTAGGTGGTCATTGGGATACTTTAGCTTCAAGAACACAACATTTAAAGGAAGGTTTACAACGACTTATTTGTCTCGTTCCATACGAAGTAATTACGCAAGAGATTTGGGAAACGGTCATGCCACATTGGATGGAAGCAATCACAAATGATGTCCCAGAGAAAGAACTTCCTGAATTGAAAATTGTCTTGCGTAAAATTCTCGATCCTTTGGGATTTGATGCTAAAGCTATGTACAACTTTATTACGATTAGATTCGAGAAAACAACAGCGAAAGTCCAAATGCAAGCGCTACATTGGTTACAAGTTCTTACAAGACTTGAGATTTTAATTCCACTTCAGCAACTGTTCACGATGTTTGTCGATGGTGTAAGAATCATGAAGCATGGAGTTCAACATGACATCAATATGAAAGATAAGGACGCAAAAGGAAAACAAACTGTGGGAAAGGAAAAAGAACTTTTAGGTCAACCAGCACCACCAAGAAGAAGCTCAATTTGTGAGTAATAATTAAATTATTTTTTGTCATGACATTAACTTCAATTACCATTAACAGCTCCTGTTGTCGAAGACGAATCAATATCCGATTCAGCTATTTCCGATGACGAACAAACGCCAGCTTCAAGACCTTCACAACAATTTTCAACAGATTCCGAAAATAATTTGACTTGTTGCATTCTCATGCTTGACATTTTATTGAAACAAATGGAACTTCAAGATGTGGAACAACACCAGGGAATCAACACGTCAGTTTGTGAAAACGTCTGTCGATTATTAAAATGTATGGTGACAGCAACAGCGGGAATTAAAACAATCGGTCCAGGAAGTCATGTTTGTTCGGAGAAGATTGAATGCTTAATTTGTGAAGCTTTCGTAATGTGGCATCAGTTGGCGACTAAAATTGTTCAATTTATGGCACCACGGAATCCAATTCGACCACCAGATGTAAGACTATTTAATTAAAAAGTTTATAATCAAAATAGGTACTGACTGAAATTCTGTTAATCTCAGCCACCTCCTGAGATTGAAACTTTTGATGATGAAAAAATTCCAGACGACAAAGACCACAAACGTGATCGTGACGTTTCCTTCTCAATGGCTGCACTTCCAATTCCTTTGGGCCCACTTGGCGGTTTGTCATCATTAGCAGGTCTGATATCTTTCAATTAACATTTCAAATACTTAACCATTAACTAACAAATCCAAATCATTAACCAACACACCACACCAACATGAGACTGTCGTCAAGAACACATTAACCAAATAAATTACTTTTGAGCTTTTTTCTATTAAATTCTAATAAAAATTTATGGTAAAAAAAGGAATTAAAAATTCTTAAATAAGATTTATGCTTAATAATTTTATATTTTCCAACATTCATTATAAGTTTCTAACTTTAAACAATTCAAAAGCTTTAAAATCATTTAAAAATTATAATTAATTGAAAGCTTGTAAATTTTTCATGACCTTAACATAAAATTCATTTCATTTATTTCCATTAATTTGTTTTTCCTATTTCCACAAAACAATTTAAAACACGCGCACACACTACACATAATATCACTGTAAAAAAAAAAAAAAAAACATTAAAAAAGATTAACTCTAAAAATCTCTTTCCAATTCCATTATTTGTGTATACTCTATGTGTGTTTCTTTATATATCTCATCATGGTAATGAAAAATATTGTGTAGATGGAGGAGAGAATATAATAATATTTGCAGGTGATTTTCTCATCTAAACCTTGAAGATAAACTCCCACGTGATTTATGTTGTGGGAGTAGTAAAATTTTTAAAAATATATGGAGTGGATATAAGTGATTTCTTTGCATAACTTTTTAGGCATCTTTTCTTTCTTTGTACTCGTATATAAGTATCAGAGCTAATGTGCTTGTCAATTGCTTGCTGTTAACTTCACAATATGAACAGTTAATGTGCGTGTGTGATTTTTCGTTTATAATTTTCTTTTATAATAAATTTCACTTTTAAAACTTAATTATTAATTCCTTATTTAGTAATTCATGTAACATGATGTACACTTACAAAATTTTCTTACTTTCTTGATCTTCTTCTTAAAAATATTAACTTATTTATATGAATCATTTAAAGAAATGTTTTACATTCTAAAGAAAATTATATTTTCACAACAAATACTAATTTCTAATTTAAAGTTTGAATTTTTGCATATTTAAAATAGTTTGAATTAAGTTTTGAGCTTTTGTAGTGACGTTCTGCTTTTGATCTGATGTCAACTGTTTTATTAATAATTTTAGGGCCTGTTCCAGTTGCGGCTCCGATACAAGAACAGCAGCCGTTCTCAATTGGAAACGTTTTGGTAAGTCCATTAAATGTGTCATAATTAAAATAAATTTATCAAAGCCAGTTTCATTAACGTGAAAAATCCATAATTTTGATTTGCCAAATTTCAATTAATTATTTCTTTTTATTTTAATTGATGTTGAATCATTAATTATTTTCGAAAGATAGATTAAAGAGAGGAATAGAGAATGTTGTTGATTTCATTTGAAATGTTTTCCAAAATTTAGGATTCACGTTAGTGAAATCAACACAAACATTGCGCAATTAACGAAATGAATTTCGAATTTTTTTGTAGATGCAAATGCCTCATGTTTGTTCAGTGAGTATACAGCACAACTAGCGCAATATTATTATTTGTATCAAATTAGAAATTTCAATTGTTTTTATTTGTTTTCAACCCGTAAAAATATTATTTTTCCGGTAGAGTCCATTAGCGAATTTTGACTTTTTTTTCTTAATTCATTTTATCATTCAGCTGCTGGCTAAAACAACGAAAAGATACACACAAAAAAATTGAAACTAAAAGAAACATTTTTATATTTTAATATTGATCCAAATTCGAGTTGTGTTTTCATCAGAAATTTTCTATTATTTTTAATTAAAATTTTATAGATGAATGAACACGAAAAGGACATTGCGAAATTTATTCAAGCTACAGACGAGGTAGACAATTAATCAGAACTCAGATTAAACGTTTAATCAATGTTTTCTTTTATAATTGATGGAGATAAACATGTTGATTCAGTTTTAAATAGTGTTCAATGTCGTAAATATGTTCAATGAGAAATAATATATCAAAACCTTTTGTCACACTCTCTCTCTATCATCTTTTTTCTGTCACTATCTCTTCATGTACTTTCGCTATCATATCAAAACTTTATTCTTTCAAATTTTACAATATATTTATTTGCAAATGAAAAAATATCTTGTACATATCTATAATAATATTTATGATGTTGTGTAAATACACGGAATTAAATTTGATTGACAAAGAAATGTCCTTGATGTTGTCATCAATATGAATATTTACAATTCACATTCCTTCACTACGAACAACGCATATAGAGCAAAAGAATTTTCTTAATCTGTTTAATTGTTCTTTACTATTTTAGTTCGTGACTTTACTTTTTTCTTTGCATAAACAAGATTTCTTCTCATCCGTGCCTTTTGCCAAATTATTTCTCTTTTATCTGTTTGTTGTTGGAAGTCTGTTGCTGAATTTTATGTTGACAATCGAAACTTAGCCATAAAGCTTGAAAATTAGAACGTTCTTTGACAAGTTTTCTTATCTCAGATTATGACAGCTACGGTTGAAACGGTTTCCGATCAGTTAGATCTTGATTTGGCTGCAATGATGCCATCTGAGAAGGTCGTGACTGCTGTTGCTCGTTCTGTCACTTTATCAGACGCTGACGTTGCACAAGCAACTGTTCAAATCGCCCGTCCATCGATTGTTGGAGCTGATCAAGATTCAGCTGACAATCCAAATTTAAGTTCTGATGAAAGCTCCGATGGCGACTTTTGGCATACTTCAGTCGGAAAGTTTAAATTCTCAATCGACCAACTTCCACAAACTTTGCAATTCATTCATCAACTATTGACTGAATTACCAAGCATTGACAAACCAGAGATCTTATATCAAGTCATACAATGTTTAAATGTTCTTGTTCTACATGGAGACGCTTTCACAAAAGCTTCTCGAGATCATCGTGGATTCTTTATTTGGTGCCAGGAAAATCTTTTAATCCGAAAGTAAGAAATCATTTATTGAACATTAAAATAAAAAATTATTTCTGAATATTTCTTAGTCTCTGGGAATGTTGCAACTCTGAAAATTCTCACATCTGTCAAGTTGGAGTTCCGTTGCTGCTACATTGCATCACATTACCTGTAGGAAGTGACACATTTTGGAAGGTTTTACAAGAATTTTTCAACCATACCGATTGGCGTGTTCGTTTTCAAGCTGTTGAACGTGTCACAGTCATTGCTCGATTTATGGACTCCACACCTTTGAGAACGGAAGTCAATTTACAAGCGGCATTAGCGACTGCTTTTTGTCATCTCATTGCAAGCATGGATGATATAAATGTTTATGTAGCGCAACGCGCAACTTTGTATTTGGGAACGATTCATGATTCAGCGATAAGGGTGGGAAGATAATTTCAATGATTTAATGATTCTTGTCTGATAAACATTAATTTCAGGCGCTTCTTTATTGTTTGGAATCACAATTCGACATGTTTATTGTCGATCGTCCCGTCGTTCTGCAATCTGTTTATCAACTACACAACTCGCTTTCTGATCGAAAGATCCTCACGTGGGATTTCTTCCTTTCAAGATTTGATACACTTTTCATCGAAGCTCAAGTTAATCTCGAGAAAAATGGCGATTTAGCATATCTTCGAGATTTGAGAAATTCTGAAAATGGAAGTGAAATTTTAACATCAAAAATTTCTAAAGCGAGAGAAGCTTTAAGTCAATCATCGGAATCATCAGGCTCAAGGAAGATGATAAAAACTTTGAGTGCTTCGTTTGGAAAATGGCAGTACAAGAGAACAATGTCAGCACCAGCAAATATTACGCCGAGACAAGAATCGAAAATCGGTAAATTTATCAACTTTCAATAATATGCAATTTATAAATTTTAAATTTATTTAAACTTTCAGAAAAAGAAAAAATCTACAATCGTCAAATATCCGCTCCACTACTTAAAAGAAAAACTTCACGCTTCGGATTGGGTCAGTTTTTATCTGGAAATACTAATCATGCTCATACAAATCATGCTTCTTCACCAAATCATTCTCATCAAAACTTACAAATTGCCAGCACAACTGGCAATAATCTTAATCATTTACATCCCAACAAATACAATCATCATCTGTCCCCATATCCGCCAAGTTCACCCGCTTTGACTCCCCATTCGCCAACATCACATCATTTTCATTTTCAACAACCGCCAAGTTCACCAATGCATCATCAAACGCCATTTGCACATCATGCTGGCGTCGCAACAGGTAAGTCTAGTGCATGAGTGTGTTAAAGACATTTGATGTTCTCTTCCTACTATTTATTCTATTTATTTATTTACTTATCTAATTGTTAATTCTCTCCTTTGCCTGTTTGAAATCACTTTTCTTTTTTAATTTATTATCTAACTTAACTAACAAAATAATTAAATAAAAAATCACTCCGGATCGCCATTAAAAGCTGTGTTGCAAGTCATAGAATTGTCGAATGACTTTACTTATGTAAGCCGTAGTTTGTAGAAGTAGCCATGAATCTCATCCTCATCTATCATTTCCTGTGACGTTGAAATAGTTTGAAAGCTTTGTAGATTCAAAGCTTTTTTCCCTTAAAGCTTTAAAAGCTCGGAATGGCTAAAAGTTTATATTTTATTACTAGATGGTCACATCGGGGGTGGCTACGATGACGTAAACTTTTCTGGAAATTTATTTAGAGTCATCGACCTCGAAGAATCAACCGACAAAGAAACAATCCACCTGTTGATTCACTTGTTGATGCAGTTCATGTCGCGACCGGATCTTGCTTTTCCAACTGAAGAAAAGCCAACATGTCGACTGATGGCAATCGTTTTGAAACATATTTATTTGTTACTTGGTTTCAATCAAAATGAAAGAATGTTTCAATTCAGTTCAGCAAGAATTCGTTGTTCATCAGTTTTCAATAGCTTCATGGCAAACTTACCGCAGTTCATGGATCAGAATCATGAAATGGGAGCGAATGAATCTTTGTTCAATTTTATTGTTCAACTTTTGATTTATGCACCATACCCGAACAACACAATACCAGCGACATTTGAAGTCATGCAAAACACTTCCTATTCGCTATGGTTCTTGGAGATTCAAGTGAGAAGAAATTGGTGAGTTGTCAACATTTTTCATAAAAAACTTTTTAATTTAAATTTATTTTCTTTAGGCTTATGACTTTACTTGTCATTCTCTACAAATACAACTTGAACACGATTCCAGAACCTTTGCTATCAAGCTTGATAAGAATTGTCATGATTTCTCTCGAAGGTCAATTCCATCAATGTCGTCGAATACCTACAACAATTCTTGTTCAAGATCTCCCACGACGACCTGATTTAAATCAATCATTTGGAGCAGAAGCTGATGAACGCGAACCAGGAAGTTTATCTCACGCCAAACAATCATCGCAGCTTAGAAAATTACACGATTCAAGCATTGAATGTGATGAAACTGAATCTGAATTGGTTGCAATTCCTGAATCTGATTTATCTGACAGCACTTTGCAAGGAAGTATTGATGGTGGAATGTCGGATGATTTACCACCATTGAAATCTGATGTTGTCAAAAAGAAGAAAGATTCGTATGATGACTCAAGAAAACCACAAAAATCTGTGCCAAAATCTCAATCTGTTGAGACAACAAAAAGTCTTTCTGAAGGTGTTCGAATGATGTTTTCATCAGCAATTTTGAGTCCACCTGTGAATGTGCAGAAAGCAATTGTCGTGACTCAATCTTCAACAGTTAAACCAGTTCAAAGTGCTGCTAAAGACATTTGTCCGTCAAGTACATCACAAATGGTGGCAAATGTTGCAAACAGTCAATTCAGAACAGCGAGGGCAGTTGCAGGTGAGAAACAGAAAGCAATTGTTACACCTCAGAATGGTTCAATAAGTCATCAAAATTCTTCATCGGTACCAAGAGCTTTGGGACGTCAACAAAGAATAATTGACACGAATGGAATTCAACAATCATCTTCATCAGGTTTGGATGACATGAAGAAAGGTCAATCTGCATATATTCGAGCTATTGAGAGAAAATCAAATTATTATGGATCACCAGAATCTCCTTTGTCAAAAATGGACATAATGAGTCCACCAGAAACTGACTTATCAACTGATGGAACTGAAACTTTACTCTCACCTTCTAGTATGAAGCTTGAAATTCCAACACCAGAAAGATTACTTCCAATTGGAAACATGGGAAAAGAAAGCGTCTCATCATTAGTTGATCGAGTGCGCGAAGTTTTATCAATTCCTGACATCAGTCATTTAAAATCTCAAGATCATCTTGATAGAAGTAATGACACAACTCCACCAAATTCATCGCGTGCCACATCACCCAGAAAACTCACCAAACAAGTTGCACTCATTGAGTCACCACCAAGTGCAAATGCAGCTGAAATTGCGCAGTCAATCATCAAAAAATCTGATCCGAAAAATGAATTAAATGTGAGAGAAGAAAAGCGTCAAACATTCCAGAAAGTTGGACCTTATCAAAGTACAGATGGTCGGTTAAGATATGCGGGTTCATGGGCACCACCGCAATTATATGACGATGAGTTTGATGAAGAAGAAGAATGTTCAATTCGAGCTAGTTACGTTAGCATTGACACAAAACCGGTAAGAATTTAAATTCAATTAATGTTTCGGATTGAGACTCATTCAAATATTTTTCAGAGCGCATTTCGTGTTGGAGATGATTGCATGAATGAACGATGCAGTGAATGTGGAGCTTTACGAGAACAGTACACTGATGAAGAGTTGGGATTGTTTATTGTTCTCCTTGGAACTTTTATTCATCGTGAACCAGCGCTTGCAGTTCCTTTTCTTCCAGACATTCTGGTTTTGGTCTCGAAAGTCGCAACTCATCATACATTTGCATGGCAGTACGAGTCAAATACACACTTACCTGGTGGTTCTCAATCAGTCGCTCATCAATTCATCAGATGTGTGTTACATCAACTGGCACCGAATGGAGTTTTCTATCAGATTTTCTTAACTCAGAATCCAGAAAACATTCGACAGAAGTTCTTTAAATGCGTGGCATTGGCACTCCTTGACTTTGTCGAACTCAACGTGGCTAGTCCCGTTCATCTATTGATGGAATCATTGAACAACAAGAAGACTTTACCTGTTGACATGCCAATTATAATGAGAAATCTTAGTGAATACTTACATTGTTTGCCAATTGAAGCTTTGAGTGTCCCCATCTGGTCATCGGCAGTTCAAGGAATTGAACAACTGTTCCGTCGAATTATTTTCATTCTACCGAGTTTAGATGAGGCTGAAAACTTGCTAAATATTATGGTGTCGGTTTTGAAGATGCCAAGTCTACCGAAAGGTATCTTAGAACCTTTTTCAAAAGTCTTCAGCTTTGCTATTCAAAATCTTCACTTGAAACATAAAGTTGTTCATGAACTTTGCTGTTTGAATAGTCGAGCGTTTTCAAAAGAACGTGACAAATATCAACTTGCAAGACAAATTGCTTTTGAACTTGTTCAATCGTTGAAGTTTAAAACAAACATTCCCGATCATAACTTGTTGCTGCTTGTCGGAGTTATTCTTCAAGATCTTGGTGGAAGTTTACCAAGGGGAACTGTCGATGGTTTACCAACAAATCCGCCAATGTTTACAAATAACACTGCAGATTGTATGCGACAATATCTCAACGATGTTCTTGAATTCTTGGCTGACTTCCATACACTCAGCAAGATAAAAAATTTCAAAAATGGTTCTCAATCTACGGGCCTGAGTGAAGACACTCTTGGTGGGGTTTTGAAAGGATCAATTTCACAATATTTAGCGTTGGAAATGTCAAGAGGAAATTCCAAAGAAAATCGAGCTGTTGGAAGATATTTGCCATGGCTTTACAATGCGCCAACAACATTACAACAAGGCCCCAAAGAATTTACTGAGTGCGTGTCACATATGCGTTTGTTGTCTTGGCTTCTAATGGGATCACTGACTCACACTGCACTTCAAACCCATCGAAGAGATCACATTGGACAACAACATCATCCAGCACATTTCCATTTGCAGCAACAGACTACACATGCAATGGCGATGCCAATTCAGCAAGATGCAAGTTGTCACATTGCTGGTAAATTCAAATTTTTAACATTCGAAAGTTTTTTTTTAATCAATTAAATTATTTTTTATTAGATCACATTCAAACAATTTTCACTGGTTTTGTCGAACAATCAAAGACGTCAATTCTTCACATGTCATCGCTGTTTCATGCTTTCACACTTTGTCAATTGTGGACAGTTTATTTAGAGAAGATTTCGGTTTATTCGAATGACAGCGTAACAACTTCAATTTTATTTGAATTTTGGGTGAAGGTGACGCCTTGTCTATTGCAACTGGTCTCACATTCAAAGTTATCAGAAATGGTCAACTTGCATTTCTTAAGTCTTCTCGAAGCATTGAAAGAAACACGATCGACAATTTTATCAAAACTTTTGCCTCTTTGGAGTCCACTGTTGTCATCAAAGAATCTTTCTGGAACATTACATGTTCGTCTTCAGAACTGTCGTGACGTTGCACCAAATCCTGAAGAAGTTGATTTGCATGCAAGCGAGGCGCTACTTAAATGGCTACAAAGACTGCAATTTAAAATGGCACAAATTGAATTGCAATCATCACAAGCCACAACACAATTTTATTCAATATAAGCTAAATCAATGTTGAATGTTTTTTGTAGAAAATAAAAATTTAGTAAAATGTTGAATTCTTATTGATTTCCGTCATCGTCTTCGTCTTGATCTGAAAACTTTTCTTCATTTTCGTCCGATTCTATATCATCAATGATTGAAGAAGCTAAACGATATTTATGCATGTCCGAAACGACGAGTTTCTTCGTATTCACGATTGATTCGTTTGATTGTACTCCTAATTCTTTGATTTTAATCGCAAGCCTTTCAGCAGCTTGTTGTTCTTTTAACTCTTTCATTTTTTGACGATGTTGATCCTCAATTTCAAGTGATTCCCGAATCGTAAGAGATTTCACACCACATTTAATAACTGGTGGGGTGGCAGCTGTATTGTCACGAACAGTTTTTTTGCTTTCAGCTTCCAGAGATGTCGAGGAAGAGTCAAAAGTTTTTGGTTTTGGCTTGTACGGTAAGAAACGTGAAGGCGGATCAATGTTTTCTTTTCGACATACATAATTGAGAACAGGATCAAAAACTAATTCTGAATTTCTAATTTCGTCAGCCTCTTTTAAATCTTCTTCTGTAATTAATGGCTTATCAGCATCACTTTCCTTTGAATTTTTAATAATTTTCTGATTATTGTTGACGCTATTGGATGAAGCCATAATAGCTAAAGGGTCTTCGTCGTCATCACTATCTAAGATATCTTTTGAGATTATTTTTTTATCTCTCCATTCCATGTTATTTAAATCGTTGGTATTGAGTTTAAGGGATGAAAGAAGATTTGATGTCATTTCAATTTCATTTTTCAATTCCAACGCAGCCAGCACACGATCATAAAGATCCTTAATCTTTTTACCTTTGTCAGGAAGCTTGTTAAGACGACCTCTACAATTATTATAAAATATTATTGACATTTTCAATATGAGAAATAAGAAATTAAAACGAACTTGTTTTCCAATAATTTCTCTTGACGACTTTTCAAATCTAGAATCTCTCGCTTTGATAGTTTCGTAAGATCTTTATCAAGAGCATATTCTTTAGGCTTTGCAATAACACCAGGAACTCTGTTTAGTGGCGGATTCTGTGGAAAATTCATTTTAAATAGCAAATTATGAAATTCGCGGGTGTTTTGTTTACTGTTGGAGTCTAAATATGCAGAGGTTGCTCAGCCTGCTCAAGCAAAATAAAGTGTTCAGCTGAACAATTTTGAAATTACAATTTCAGTTACAAATTGATGTTTGTCAACAGAAAATCTTTTGGGAAGGAATAAATTAATTTATGTTGATACTTTTTAGCCTTTAAAATGTCCTATTACTATTGTACCATTTAAAATGTTTATTTATACACGTTTATTGCTCTTATTTATAAAGCTTTAATAATTTTGATTTTATTCTAAGCAGCTAATAGGAGAGAAATATTTTTATCTGTGCACTTGTTTATCTTACTTTGTGTGTTAAACAGACGAAATGAAAATTAATCATTTTCTTAATATTTATTGATTTAAATCAACGATTAATTTTCAAATTGCCTTCTGATTTTTACTTGATAATTGAAATGTTCAATGTTACAACGGAGACAAATCTCATCATATTTTTTTTTTGAAGTTCTGAGTGAAACAAAATTATTTTCCATTGTAGCATTGAGTGTTTATTAAAAATAAATAAGAAATGAATTTCTAAGTAAAACTATATATTATTCAAATGCTCCTTAATCTCTCGAAAGTGTAAGTAAAATATTTTTATAAGTTTCCTTAATATGGAATGCTTTAATAAAATAACAGAACGGAGAGTGTTTCATTTTAATAAAATTATCACAATAAATATTTAACATAGCCAAGGTGAAGTTTCTTGAAGAAAAATTAACCTTTGCATACTTAATTGAATTATTTAGAATTTTAAAAATACTTGCAATGATAATCAGGATATTCTAAACATTATTACTTGTAACTTTATGACTATTTTGAATTCTTAAATAATCCTGATAAAGCCTTCTCGCTTGGCCAAGAACTTTTGTGACATTATGTTTGCGAACCATCTTATCAAAGTGCATTGCCATTTCGTTGTAATCCATTCCACTTCGCATAATATAATCGCGATGTTGAAGCATTAATGTTAAACAAAGGAACATAAGAAATGGATTGCCATTTCCGAATTCAGAAGGAGGTGGCAATTGAAGTTGTGAATTAATTTTATTTTGTGGTGTTATCACTGCCCCACTTTGAGCATTTAAAGTTGTAACTTCTGAAGCTTCTTCACAGGAATTTATCATTGACATCTTTTGTTCTTTCGAGTCTTTAGATTCATCATTCTCTTCTTCCTCTTCTTTTGCATTTAATTGTTTAATCTGCTCGAAAAATGGATTTGTGTTGTTTAATCTCATATTCCATTCCCAATTTCTTTCTTCTGAATCAGATTCCGAATCATTTGCAGTTGTTTGACAATCTTTTGACGGTAATTTCTCGTGATCATGTTCAATATCAATTTGTTCATCAGGCGTTGTTGCTGGTTCTAGATCTGGTGATATTTCATCAACAACATTAGCTTCAAGAAAATCTGATGACGTATGGAGTGGATTTTTCCAGATGAAAACTTCATTTTTTGTGTTATTTGCTACATCAAAAAGATTTGAATTTCCATCATCGATTGTCGCTATGTTTGGCGTTGGCATTTCTTCTTCTACATTGCTAGTTTTTTCAGCCTTTATCTCACTCATTGCTTCACGTGAATTTTCACCAACTGTTAACTGATCGCTGTTGTCGCTACTTTTACTCCTTGCGAAGTTAAGAAATTCATTGAAATTTTTAACAAGCTTAACATTTGCTGGTGGAACATTAGCAGGATCGTAATCTTCTTCAAGTTTCTCAATTGTTTTAATTATTCCGATTTTACTTGACATGAGATTCTTTTTTAATTCTGACAACGCATCGGTGATGGAATTTCTCTTAATTATAGCTTTCATTTCAGTTGAATTATCAGAACCTGTCGGAAGATCAGCTTCTGAACTATCAGAATAAAGAAACGGATTTTTCTCTTCAGAAATATCATCAGTTGATTCAGACTTGCTTTTGACGTCATCGCAAGTTGACAATTTCTCTTCACTTTTCGATTCTGAATGAAGTTTTTGAAGTTTTGTTTCATCTAAACTTTTGTGACTCAATGTGCGATTCTTTCTGTGGCTTCCGATGTTAGTATCATCAAGACTGTGATTTAATCGTTTAGTAACTCCAAGTTTGACAGAATTTCCTGAGTTTTGTCTTCGAATAGCGCAAACTGTCGTGTATGGACTTTCATTGTTAAGAAGTGCGGGACTTATGACGGCAGGAACTTCCGCTTGAACAGCTTCAAATTCTTTCTCAAAAAGTTTCAATTCTTTTTCTGGAGCATCAATTGGCAACGATGACCACATAATTTCCATCATCCTTAATGAATCTTCAAAGGCAAATTCACGTTTCATTTCTAAAAGCAACCAACGATAACAGAAAAGCAAATCATCAGCTTGATGATGTTTAAGATAATTATAGAAGTCGTTATCATAATATTGAAGTGACTCCGATAAATGTGCAAACTTCTTTGTCATTGCAATCCCGTCAATCATAAAATTGCATTTGATTCGAGACATCAAAGCACAAAAGCAAATGTAAGCTTGAGCTTCATCATCCATTGTGACTAATAGTGGACTGGCCATGTCACTCATACCTTGGCAATAACTAACAGAAGGATGATTAAGCGCAAATGTTGTGAGAATGTTGAATAAAGCTGCGATGTTTTTATTATCGTCATGACCAGCGTAAAATCCGTGATGTCTGTCTGTTCGAAGAACATCCTTTCGAACCATGCTGGTGACATAAGATAATTCGCCTCTAACTGTTGTTCCCTTATCCTTGACTGCTGTTTGCCAAACATCTCTTAATTTATAATATTCAGCAGATTTCTTCTTAATGTAATCCATTCTTTCTTTTCCTGTCAACCCAGATGGGTAAACATTTAAAATGTGTTTCCAAACAACTCTTCTTAAACTTGGATCGATTCCTCCCATAAAAATTACTTTACGTAGTTCCATTTGATGAATGATTTGGCCAACTGAATCACAATAATAACGAAATTCACTGTCTGACAAAGGACGTCTTTGTGACTCTTGTAAAGATGGATCATCAACAAAGTTTAAAACTCTTGAAATCTTTTCNGTGGCTAAACAATGGAGTCCGTGGTGGCTCAACGCATCAGTCCGTCAGTAGCTAAACCATGGAGTCCGTAGTGGCTCAACGCATCAGTCCGTCAGTGGCTAAACAATGGAGTCCGTGGTGGCTCAACGCATCAGTCCGTCAGTAGCTAAACCATGGAGTCCGTAGTGGCTCAACGCATCAGTCCGTCAGTGGCTAAACAATGGAGTCCGTGGTGGCTCAACGCATCAGTCCGTCAGTGGCTAAACCATGGAGTCTGTGGTGGCTCAAAAAAAAAAGAAATCGATACGAGAATGATTCATTGTGAAGCAGCGATGAGAGACTTTCAACCCTAAGAAATGTCAGAATCTTGTAGAAGTAAAATGATCAAAGTTCAACGACTGTTTCATGATCAAAGCGCCTAGACATGACGTCAAAACGGTCAAGCATTCATGGAAACGGCAAACAAGGACTTTCGGATCAAAACAAAGCTTCAACAATACAAAGAAATTCAACAATCTCAACTTAGAAAGACGTTCTCAATGTTCTCGCAATGATCATCAAAACATAACAACAACAAGAAAAAAAAAAAATAGTAAAATTAAATAAAAATGTTCCAATTGACGTTCGTCGAGGAAGAACAAACAAAAAAATGAAAGGCAACTTTGCAAACACAATTCAAATTTTCAAATTCCAAATATTTTTTAGAAAACTTAAACTCCAAATTCTTCAATCCGAAATCAAAATTTTAAAATAATTTTCCATTGAATTCATTACCAAAGCAGTAAATTTTTATAATCAAAATCAAAATTCTTTTCAAAATTCAATAAAACCATTTAGAAACTGGATTCATTTATGACTTTTTATTGATCTTATTTTGTTTCACAGTTTACTTGTTGATTCATTAAGACGTCGTTGAGGTAAAGGTCAAGGTCATCGCAAGCATGCTGAAGGAATCGAAACAAATTTAAACACTTGTTGATCTTCAGCTTTTAAGAATTTTATCAATATTCTTTAATTAAAATTTGTTAATGCATTAAAGCGTTAAATTGAATATCTTATGGGATTTCCAACTATCCACATACGTGATGAACTCATGAAATCAATTTGATAAACATGTGCGAACTCAAGCGAGAAGAAAAAAATAATTTTAATGCATCACTCATAATTATGCATGTTTAAAGTATTTGTAAATAAATTTATAAGTTGCTCAAACATATGATTGGCTCTAATTGTTATTCAGCTATCAGAATAAAGAAACGGATTTTTCTCTTCAGAAATATCATCAGTTGATTCAGACTTGCTTTTGACGTCATCGCAAGTTGACAATTTCTCTTCACTTTTCGATTCTGAATGAAGTTTTTGAAGTTTTGTTTCATCTAAACTTTTGTGACTCAATGTGCGATTCTTTCTGTGGCTTCCGATGTTAGTATCATCAAGACTGTGATTTAATCGTTTAGTAACTCCAAGTTTGACAGAATTTCCTGAGTTTTGTCTTCGAATAGCGCAAACTGTCGTGTATGGACTTTCATTGTTAAGAATTGCGGGACTTATGACGGCAGGAACTTCCGCTTGAACAGCTTCAAATTCTTTCTCAAAAAGTTTCAATTCTTTTTCTGGAGCATTAATTGGCAACGATGACCACATAATTTCCATCATTCTTAATGAATCTTCAAAGGCAAATTCACGTTTCATTTCTAAAAGCAACCAACGATAACAGAAAAGCAAATCATCAGCTTGATGATGTTTAAGATAATTATAGAAGTCGTTATCATAATATTGAAGTGACTCCGATAAATGTGCAAACTTCTTTGTCATTGCAATCCCGTCAATCATAAAATTGCATTTGATTCGAGACATCAAAGCACAAAAGCAAATGTAAGCTTGAGCTTCATCATCCATTGTGACTAATAGTGGACTGGCCATGTCACTCATACCTTGGCAATAACTAACAGAAGGATGATTAAGCGCAAATGTTGTGAGAATGTTGAATAAAGCTGCGATGTTTTTATTATCGTCATGACCAGCGTAAAATCCGTGATGTCTGTCTGTTCGAAGAACATCCTTTCGAACCATGCTGGTGACATAAGATAATTCGCCTCTAACTGTTGTTCCCTTATCCTTGACTGCTGTTTGCCAAACATCTCTTAATTTATAATATTCAGCAGATTTCTTCTTAATGTAATCCATTCTTTCTTTTCCTGTCAACCCAGATGGGTAAACATTTAAAATGTGTTTCCAAACAACTCTTCTTAAACTTGGATCGATTCCTCCCATAAAAATTACTTTACGTAGTTCCATTTGATGAATGATTTGGCCAACTGAATCACAATAATAACGAAATTCACTGTCTGACAAAGGACGTCTTTGTGACTCTTGTAAAGATGGATCATCAACAAAGTTTAAAACTCTTGAAATCTTTTCCATTTGATTCATAATAAGTCCAGGCAGTTTATTTTGGACATATTTTTGTCCTGCACCAATTGATTGCTGAAAATTACTACTCATGACTGTAAGAGCTGATGATGATGATCCGTTGGCATCCCAATCAGTTGATGGTTGATTAAAAGGTTTCACATCTATTTGAAGATTAAGTGTAGGCTCTGAATTGTTTGCAATCGCTGTATTTCGAGCTCTAATGAAACAAATATTATGATTTTATTAAGAAATGGTTTTTGACACATTTACTGACCTTAAAAATGCGGCATCAAGATCCCAATCACTGAAAATTATTAGTTGCTCATCAGTCTTTGTATTTGGGTTAATAGTTCTATAAGATATTCCAAAATCGGTTTTCAAATCAAATGCTTTTGCTAAAATCGAGTAGAGTGTTTCCAACGAAGTAATTTGTGGATCGACGCTAAACTTCCTGAACTCTTCCGCAAGACCATTTTCGTTCAACTACAGAAACGGTGCTTAAGTTTAAAAAAAAAAATCCATGTTTACAATACTTACTGTTACTTTAACACGTACTGCTTGTGCTCGAGATGCATACATTTTTGTGAGACAATTAACTGAAGAAAATATACAAAGAAAAAGTTCATAAAAAACTCATAATGTTGTCAACATTTATTGTTAAATGAAATTTCTTTGAATTCTCCTAATTATGAAGATTTTTATTCTTTCGTCGTATAATAGATATTTCACAAATAAGATTACCTAAGTTTTTTTGTGAAGAACTTTGAAATCTCCGAATTCCTTTGCTTTAATTTATGTTTCAGCAAAGAAAATTGGAAATCATTCGAAAAAAAGATTTTTTAACAAATTGTGATTGAAATTGATCAAATGTTTATGTCCAAACTTTGATAATTTACTTTCAACTTGTACATTAGAATTTAATAAAACAACGTTTAACTAATTCCATAATAATTTTCACAATTTTTAATAAATTCTGTTTACTTTTAAAGCTGAGCGCTTTCTAATGTGCAGGGTTTTTTTGTCGTAATAATTTAGAGGGGCTCCGAAAGGGATGAAGCTACGCTAAAAACTTTTCTCTTCCTTCTGGAAAAATCTTGCAAAAGCGCTTGCTACTGCAGGTAAGAATTTTTATTATTTTATTGGCTTAATGACGTTATTTAATATTCTTAATATAATATAAACGCAAAAAACACCATAATCTACATAATAAATATGAAATTCGCTGTTTAAAGTATCAATTTTAATTACAATATGAGTTTTCTTAATTTCAATAAAAAATGGCGGATATCTTTTGTCTTTCGCGAGAATTTTGAATTTACTTCAATAAAATTTCTTTATTTCTGTTTTTAGATTTTCCTTGAGCATACATCTACATGTCATGGAAGTTTACGTGACATGGGATGGAAGCGGTGAGGTTATCAAATATCAATGATGATCTTCATTGATAGATGATATTGTTGTCCCTGCATAGGATTTCTGTGTAGCGATAATAACTACAAAGTTTTCTATTCTGGTGAAAATGATTTCTTGATTTGAGAAAATCTGTCCCGGATGTAATTGATGGTTGATAAAAGTTTCAGTTTCCTAGGAACAAACTGTCCCATCAAAAGCTTTGTAGGAATGCACCTCATTCCGCAACAATGCAACAGTGTGTACAGTTGTGTACAGTGTGTTGTATTGGAAGTTTTCTCCGTAAACTAGACTTACAAACGTAGAATTCCGGAATCGTCGGGAGTCAAATCAACGTCGTGATAGCTCAACAATGGCTCATCACACCAGTCCGTCAGTGGCTAAACAATGGAGTCCGTAGTGGCTAAACAATGGAGTCTGTAGTGGCTAAACAATGGAGTCCGTAGTGGCTCAACGCATCAGTCCGTCAGTGGCTAAACAATGGAGTCCGTGGTGGCTCAACGCATCAGTCCGTCAGTGGCTAAACCATGGAGTCTGTGGTGGCTCAAAAAAAAAAAGAAATCGATACGAGAATGATTCA